ATTGTCTTTTTTATTATCTTAGTAAAGTAGTATTATTTTGTGGGATAAACCTGACTTAGGGCAAACATACCAGTACTTCTGTTTGTGTTAGTTTTATGGACAAATCACATAAGTTCCTACATAGTAATTGTTAAATATTGCCAGATATTGATGCTCTGTATTTAGAAGTTTCAGCCATTATTTTAAAGCATTTATTATGTTTGACGAATGGGTTATGTTGGTTTTAACAATGATCAGAAGAGTTCCAGGCAAGAGAAAACAAGGCATTAGTGAGCAGACATTTCTCAATGCTTTTATATTCTGGATTTAAATGAAGCACTGTATTTACAATTTCATTCAATAGGCTGCATTGGAAAAGCATATTTGCTGCGTTAACTTCTGAAGAATTAGGAGGCCAATGTACATATGAATGAATTTAGAAATTCACAGCTAAATGCAGTTCAAGGAAAAAACTCAAAGTTTTTAGATTTCTCTGCCTTATTTATATTGTGTTAGAATCTATCTTCCTTATCCTTAATTTTCCATCTTCTTATTGGAGACACAGTTTAATTTCAAAGTAAAATAAATGCAAAATGTTTGTTTTTCTCTTTTGCCACCAGCCTTGGAAATGTGGTTGGTTCTTTGGGACCTATTTTGGTACCAACAGTGATTTTTTTTTTTTTTTTTTTCTTCTCTCCTCTCTCTCTCTAACAAAACTCACTTTGCAGCCGAAGTATTTGGATGACTGAAAAGAATGTACTCTCTAGGGCATCTATGTATGGTTTTATCCTTCATTCTGGAAGGAAATCTTAATATGGCAATCAATGTTTTGCTTTATTTTTAGTAAATTTTCAAGAATCCAGCTCTGAGCATTGTCTTTATTTAATGTAGTTTCTTCCAGACTGTTGCTTAAATTATTTGTAAATTGAAATTCTTTCAAATGGAAAACATATGAGGAAAACAAACTTTTAGGGTTTATTTGCTAGATTTGTCATATTCCGTAGCTAGTCAGATAAATGTTTTAATTTCATGCAATTTCGACATGATATTTTTCTTTTTTCTGTATTGGTTTCCAGCTTAAATTATAGATCAAAAACATACAGTGGCAGCTTATAGGGTAGATCTTCCATAGCAAGTTTTGTAGCAGGCAACCAGTATTACAAATTTCAGAAAATAACTTTCAGAAATTTACGTTATAGTAATTGTTAACTGAAAAAAAGTTGCGGACAATTCCTCTTGACTATCTGGAAATGATGTGCCTTTGGAAAAATAACAGCTTCATTTTGTCAGTTTTAAATCTCAGAACTGGTTTAATGTCTCTTTCAAGTGACAGGTCATTTTGCATAAATTCTAAAGACAAACTGTGGTCACAGAAAAGTACATAGTACAAGTTTTTAATCTCTGCTTAGTTTGTGAGTAACTTAGTAATGTTTCTTAATATCCTGCTGCCTTATCCTGCTCAATATTTTGTTCAAAAGTCAATGATAGTAACTTGAATTCAGAAAGACTGGCTTTGTTTTTGAATTCTTTAGGTGTCCGTTAAGGAGACAGAACTATGATTATGGAATACACCTCCTCACAGTTTTGTACCATGAATCTTGGGTAAGAATATGCATTTCTCTCTGTATGTACATGTAGATACATTTACATCCATCTGCATAAACTAAACGTCACTTGTAATTTATAAAAGGTTCCATTAATGCACAGTTAAATTACCTTAGTTTTTGTTTCCCTCATCCTGCGGAGTTTTCTTCAAATTCAACAAAGGTTAAATGGCTTATGTTTAAATCTTATTTCCATAGCAAATTTGCATTTAATTTCTTTAGCTTTCTAAGAGCTCTTCTCTTGTTTGTATATGTTGTAACTGTGTGTAATGTATTACATCAGAAGGTTAGTAATTTTTAGAAGTAAACTTATCTTCACAGTCACTAATTTTGTGTTTATTTGAATTTATGAAGTAGAGAATGAGGAAAAAAATGGCACTTCAGAGAAGTCTCAATAGAAGAAGAATTTAGATTTATATAACTACTGGGGGAAAAAAGTATGTAGTAGAGACAGAGTTGGGTAGAGAAGGGTGACAATTATCAGGTTTGTATATGTATATGATACTTCCTTATAGGGAATATTATAGGATGATAAGAAGATAGTGAAATATCTAGAATTTACTGGATATATTCTAATCGTGAAAGGTAGAAAAATGATGTGGTTGAGAAGGAAAGCAAAGCCTTGCAAGCCAAATACAATACCTGATCTCATGTCTGCATATTTAAATCATTATGGCCTAGAAGAGGTTGATTTCCAGGAAGAAAACAAGATTGAAGTTGTATTGTGTGTGATCTATCCTGATTACCACCTTGTGTTTCTACATTTTTAATAATAACCAAGTGTAAAGATGAGAACAGTTCCATTCCAACAGAGCAAAGAGGCATGTTATCAGCTCAAAAGTTGTGAAAACAAACATACAGTACAGTTTCCTGCTTTTTGCCTGTTTCCAAAACTCTTTCTACCTGTTACTTACAGTCTGAAGGTTTCCTTTGGCTGTGGTAACTATGGCTATAGTTTAGGAACATTCCAATCCTTAAATGCTATCTGACAAAGCTGACCTCAAGTTGGAAGAGAATGAGGATTTAGGTTGCTTTTCTGAACTCCCTATCACTCAAAAGGTCTTATTCCAATGACTGATGTTTTATTACATTGCTTAAGTAATCCATTCAAAGATATAAGACATTTTTCAAACACAAGCTCAATCTTCTACCATGAATCCGTCACACTTCTCTGTTTGATTTTGTGCTTAGTGATGTTGGTTAAACTATTATCTTTGACTCTTTAACAAACAACTTTTAGCAGAAACAAAGCTAGAAGTCCAAAATGAAATTATTGTTGAAAACCTGTAGTTGTATTCTGGACAGCTTAGCTGTCTTTTTTTTTCAAAATTATGTGTGTTAGTCATTTTGAATATGAAGGCTTTTACTGTCTCTCAAATGTTTTCATAGATGCATTTTTAAATTATGTAGTAGAATAGCTACCAAAATTCACACTTCCTGTGTCCATTGTACTTTGCTATTGAGATGAAGTCCCTATATTTAGCATTTTTAGGAATTTCAGTGTTCTTGATGTCATTGCAATGATCACCTAAAACCATAACGAGGTACAGTTTTATCTGCCTTTCACTAGAAGTTGGCTTGAGGGATGGGGTTTATAACTGTAGAGTGCATTCAGTTAAACTCTCCTTATATATCTATATTTTAACATATTTGTACTTTAGATTAAAGGTACTTTATAGAACGCATGGATATTTTCCTCCTGAACAGCATTGCTTTGCATTACAAATTTGAAATTGATGACAGATCAATTTACGGTATTAAGCAATGACAAGAGAGCTAGACAGTAGTTGCTTTATTAATTCCAGACAGACACCACATCTCTCCTTGGCTCTAGCATTACTTAGTGATGGAAGACAGGGCCATACGATACTGCTTTGTGAGTATTCAGTGTGTGTTGAATACGCACAAGTCTCTTGCCCTTTTATTACCTTTCAGCTTCCATGTTAATATTTGATGAGTTCATCAATCAGTTGTAATTGTCTTTGATTTCCTTGAAAAATTGATGGTCTGCTGTGACTTTTTTTTTCCCCCTCCATAATCAGTGATAATCCCTTTTAATAATCCTTTTTAATAGACTTGCTGAAAGGTAGTTTGGATATGTTTTGTAAACCATAAGCAAAGCAAGTTTTATTTTAATCTGCGTGAACTTTAAATATTGGGGTAGTGGTAGAAATTAGTCCTCCATGCAGATAGTAACATTAAACCACTTTGTAGAACTAGTCTTGGTTTGGTGACTTTCTGAGCAGAGTAGTGCCACACAGCATTTGCATTAGTGGAGTTTCTGGAATTCAGTAAAAAGATGAGGGCAACATTTTCCCCTCTTAATAAAAGCAAAGCTGGCTGCATATAATTTTTGCCTTGACTACTAAGAACTTTACACGCTATCATTTTGGAACGTGGTGTAACTTCCTAATCTATGTAAGTAATGGAATCACTGAATTTATGAACGAATAAGTGTGTGAATTCATAGAAGGAAAAACTCTGCTGTGTCTGTCTACGTCTGGAAGTATAATTTCAAGTATAATGATGCATCACTTGCAATTAAAAATAATATTTTTATTACAGTTGTGAAATAGAACATGAAAGAAATTAGGAATCTGAAACTTTAAGGGTATGATAGCTCCTTGCGGTTTTGTTGGTTATGTAGTCCAGGATGTGCTGGGCAACTGCATCACATTTCTAACATTTATTCTGCAGTAGTGAGTATGATGAGTTGAATTCTGGCTTATTTTATGTATGCTTAGAAGACGAAAGCAGTTTATCTCAACAGCAGCTTCTCTAGCACAAATTTTCTTATTTATCTTCTTAATCATGGCTTCAAACCAAAACCCAGAGTATCCACAGCTCCTCAATACTGTTACTTTATATATTAGATGACTCGGAATTAGCCTTGGTAGCATAGGCTACTGGGTTTTTTTTTTCCTCCTGTAGCCTGCTAGCAATCAACAGATGAAAGAAGACAACAGGCTAGTCAAATTCTGAAAGATTTCAAAAACACGCAAGGGGATCAAGCCTGGTTTCATGAAACTTGCAGAGCAATTTAGGAATATTGTTTTGTTATATATAAGACTTAGTTCACTTTTTTTGCATGCATGGGGAATTAAGAAAAAGGGAAGGAACCAGAAGGAAGAAGCAATTTTTTTTTTTTTTTTTTACTGGAAATAAGTGAATGTCTTACGTTGCATTTGTGAGTACTAGAAGAGGCAGAGTTTGGATGCTGGGGGAGAGAAGGACGGAAGGAGAAAAGAGTGGTCAGACTGCGGATGGGTAGTCGGAATGCAGTGTTAAGATGAAGAAGCTGACAAAGGTGGCAGGAATAAAAAGATACATTCTGGAGCTAGGAATAAAGAGCATAGATGAAACTTTTGGATTACCTGTAGGAAAAGCAGGATGCTACTGTATAGACCTGAAGTCCCTACAGATTGGTAGCTAGTAGTAGTATTGCATTTTAAACTGCCCTCTCTTCTGTCATCTTGCCAGCAATGGACTTCACCATGCAAAATCCTGTGAAACTGGATTCATGGGATTGCTTTAACTGGACAAGTGACTATTCTCCGATGCTTGATCCATCCTCTGATGGATCTACCTTTTGACTCCTTGCAGATTACTCCCAAGGCTTGTGCCATGAGTGATTGCACCACATGAAAGCTATTTTAGATCAAGTAGCTCTGAGCGGAATGCTCAATTTTCTGTATTCGTCAATAAGGGGGCTTCTCCACAGTTTGGCTGAAGAGCAGGGAAAAGGGAGGGGAGACTGAGTGGAGCCATGAGCCAAGTGGGACAAAAAGAGCCATCTGCAAGGAGATGGGGGCCTTTACAAAGGAGGGAAATAGGGGAATTCCCCCACATTCTTCAGCAAGGGGGACAAAGGAGTTGGTGAGCTCAGGTGAGAACAGATGGCGGGAGGCCGGAGTTTGGTGTAGGCGGGCCGGGAAGGCTGTAACTTCTGAGTACCTTGGCCAATGGGGAAAAGGAGAGGGTGTCCCTCGGTCGGGAAATTAGGATAAAAGGGGGGCTGCGTCCCCCAGCAATTTGAGAGACCCCACAGGGATATGCCCGGTGGACTCTCCCTTTATTCGAATAAAGTTTTAAGACTCCTTTGTCTCCTTGTTGGACATTCAGTTCTTGACAGCGAGATTTTCTGCACAGCTCAATCAGTTGTGTTTCTGCTGCTTATATAATGGTACTGCATGAATACTGTTACAGCTGCTGCAAAAACTTTTTTTTTTTTTAGTGTAGTAGTTTGCTGCCCTCAAGTGGTTAGAAACATCATAACGTGATCTCCCTCAGCCACTCTCACTCACTAGGAACTAAAGTTCCCTTTTGAGTTAAAAGCAGGAAGAGAAATAAGTGGAAGAAAAAGGTTACTATCAAGGAAAGACATTAGTGGTTGTAAAGTGAGGGATCTGGAAAAAATGGAGAGGGAAAAGAAAATAGTTTTGTTTTGGGGTTTTTTTTGCAGTCAGTGTTTTTAATAGTCACTTACAGAAGTACAGACATTTTCCCTAGGTTCAGTTGCACATGAGTTTCAACATACACAAATGCAAGGTAATGCAGAATAGAGGAAATTATTCCATGTTACACAGCTGATATTTTGAAAGATGATTAATGAAAAGTTGCCCTGTGATTCTGTGTTTGGAATGCAATCAAAATACCAAAGCCTTAAAAGGAGTCCTAAAGAAAAATGAGTAGAAGCGTGGGAAATCGGAAGTAGCTGCTGATTAGAATATGTATGATAATAACCAAAGGGTCCTTTGGTACCCTTTTCTTTGCCTTGTGCTTGTGTTGCAGAAGATAGCAGTATTTGATGAAATGAAAGGCAGTGAAGTTGAAGGAGAGAGGTGAGCCAAGGAGAAAAATGCAGTGTGGACCTGCAGCATGGCATCAGAAGCCTTACTAAAATTTACTTGAGAACCAAAATCTATGTCCAATTTGAAATGAATCTGAGGAAAATGTTTCATCTTGCTTTCATCTTCTGTTTTTTGTAAGGCATTTAAT